AGCGGCAAAGGTTGACCCCTCTCTGCCAGCTGTTACATGGTCCTCTTCAGGTCAGGGGGGATAACGCGGGACAGCAGAGCGTGGGTCATGTCTGGGACCTCGGGAGGGCAGAGATGTTCAAGGAAAACCCGATCTTCTTAGAATCAACAAAGAGACCCCTCTGGTGACCTCTCAAACATAGCCACATTCTAACCCTGGGACCTGTGAATGTGACCCTATATGACAAAAGAGATTTCCCAGATGGGAAGGTTTGCATTTTGTTTCATTCTGTTGGTGCTGGTGATGGAGCCCAAGTGTCATATTCGGTAGGCAAGGGCTCTGCCATGGAGCCCATCCCCAGCCTGGACCTGCCAGTTTCAGCACTGTAAGACTCCTTTAGACTCCTAGAATTTTTTTTTTATGAGCAGAATATATTTATTGAGGGAAAGAAAAGCTCCTGTCTGAGAGACGGACAGGAGGGGGGCCCCGAGAGGGTAGTTCTCGCAGAAAGCTATCTCTTCCAGGAACTTATATAGTGTAAAACTATGCAGGGCTAAGGTGGAGAAAATGGGAACTTGTTTAGGTGGATGTGGGCTGGGACAAAACTATGGTTAACCAATAGGATCACAAGCACCATTGCTCAGGTAAAATTGATTAAGTCCAGGACCAAACGAAGAAGGGAGTGATGTAGCAAGCAGGCATGAATACAGGACAGGGTCTCTCCCTGCTGGGGGGTGGCCTAGTGACTCATTTGGGCTCTTTCAAAGTGATTGATACCTATTTAGAATATCAATCCCTGATTGGACTCCTAGAATTTTAAGAGAATAAATTTGCACTGTTTTCATGTGCTGATAAGACATAGAGAAAAAGAAAATCTGGTGTATAGTTAGTGGAAATGTAAATTAATACAACCATTGTGGAAAATAGTATTGAGGTTCATAAAAGTTTAAAACATAACCCTAGCATATCACCCAGCAATCCCTCAGAGAAGTTGAGAGCATAATGGTGGATTCCAGAAGCCAGAGAGAGCCCTTGACTACAGGTAACAATATTTTATAACTAAAGAAAAGATTTTGAATGTCTTTACCCGTAAATAAATGTTGGTGATAATAGGTATATTTATACTGATTTAAACACTACCCTATGTGCAGATGTATTAAAACAATACATGATACTCGATAAATATATAAAATCACTTGTATATATCAGTTAAATATAAAAAACAATTGTGCCATTTTTTGTTGAGACAGTGTCTCACTGTACAGTTCAGGCCGGCCTTGAACTCACGTTGTACCCCTGACTGGGCTCGAACTCACAGCAATCCTCCTGCCTCAGCCTCCCCAGTGCTGGGATTACAGGTGTGCACCACCATACCTAGCCAAAGGCTACTTTTGTTGTTGTTGTTGTTGTTGTTGTTGTTGTTGTTGTTGTTTTTCTTTTGGTCTTTTGAGGGCCTCGCTCTGTAGTCCTGGCAGCTTTGAACTGTCTCTGTAGCCCAGGCTGCCTTCGAACTCACAGCAATCCTCCTGCCTCAGTCTCCCCAGGCTGGGATTACAGGATGCGCCACCATGCCTGGCTTGTGCTGTTTTAAATCAGAACTTTGGGGGTAATTTGTCACAGTGACAAAAAGGAAAATAATAAAACCTATTAAAGATGTCTTCTTAGTTCCCATAAAAAAGCTACGGAGATTCTGTGCAAATTCCTTCCTTAACAGAGGCTGGAGGACAAGCATGGTCTGGATTCACAGTATCCTGTCAAGTTGAACTGTGTTCACACTGTAAGTGGAGAGGGTTAGCTCTATGAACACCTGAAGCTGGCTGCAGCGCGCCAGCTCCTCCAGAGGCTGAAGCAGGACCACTCGAGTCCGAAGTGTTCAGGGCCAGCCTGGGAAGCAGAAGACCCCATCTCATAAAAAGAAGAAGAAGAAAGAAAGAAAGAAAGAAAGAAAGAAAGAAAGAAAGAAAGAAAGAAAGAAAGAAAGAAAGAAAGAAAGAAAACCCTGCAGATCAACGTCGGGCATCACAAGCCCCACAGGCTGCTGTGCTAGGACCTAAGCTATAAAAAGGGAAAACAACCTGGCCATATCCCTGGAAATAGACACATGAAAGCCAAGCGTTTATCTCCACTGTTAGCCCACATTTTCCTGCAAACTTCCCCATGCGTTGTTATCGCCTTTACTTTAAACACTTAGCTTTTAAGTGCATTCACACAGTAAGGAAATCACCTTTACGCTTACGCATACAGATGCAATTTCCAGCGCTGTTCATTGCTTTGTATAGA